TTTAGGTAAAACCAGCGTCCTGGAAAATGTCGCTTCCGGGTTCACATCTTTGTGGGGTCCTCACTGCCCCCCCCCCCCCCCCAAGCCGGGGTCACCCCCACTCTCACCATTATCCTTCCCTTTGACGAAGGCCTCCCACTCACGGAACCACTGCATGCTGATGCAGAAAATGACGCTCGGGCACTCCTCTGCCTGGAAAGCTTTGTTTAGCTGAGAGGACAAAAGGGAGAGCGGTCAGGCTGGGGGGAGGGGTCGTGAAAATAAGTTGATCCCAGTCTTCTTTGTGTTAGCCCCTCAAATACAGGAAGACTGCTATCATGTGTCCCCCACCCCACCCTGGTCAAAAGGGACCAGCAGAGATTATGCTACCTGAGACTTCTCAGGAAACAACAACGGAATGAAAAACTGCCGGTGACCTTCTACCGCTGCACCGTAGAGAGTATCTTAACTTATTGCACCTCTGTATGGTTTGCCAATTGCACAGGGGCAGATGGGACAGCGCTCCAGAGGGTTAAGGTCATTGCCCAGAGGATCACTGGTTGCCCTCTCCCCTCTTTGGAAGAGTTTTATAGCTCCCGCTGCCTCAAGAAAGTTCAAAACATTCTCAAAGACCCGTCTCATCCTGGGCACCCTTTTTTTTTGAACTATTACCATCTGGCAGACGGTACAGAATTCTAAAAACAAGGACCGAGATTTGGTGATCAATTGCGGTCGTAAGTGTATGCTCTTTGGGGTAACCCCAAGGCTGTTATCGGCATATTCTGGATTCCCCTTTCCAGTTTTTGAATTCTTTCTTTCTTTTTTTTCCAAATTGGGAGGGGGCCCTTGGCAAACCCAACCAGCCCCTCCCCTTGAACCCACTGTTGGGGCTCCCTACTATACCAGGCCAGCTCTGGGGGGTGGAGGGACATGTTACCTTGATGAACGTGTCAATCTCCATTTTCCTCCGCTTAGCCAGGGCTTCGATCTCCACCTGGCACACTGAACAGACGTAGAGGTGATTCACAGCCGGGCCGCCCCCAAACCTGAGCAGGGAAAGAAACTGGGTGGTAAATTCAATGAACGCCTTGCACCCTGGGATCGAACGCTTGCAGGGGTACTCTACTCCGGACTGACAAGGTGGGTTTTCCTGGGCCTGGTCACTCGGGAGATCAGGAGGTGTAGAGAGTTACACGGGAAGCCACCAACTTATAACCATTCTGTGATGACCCAGGGTGGGTCACAAAATAAACACAGTCACAAAAAACAGGTGAAGCCCCTTTTATTCCTTCACTTTGCTTCAAAGCTCCAAATATCCTTGACCGGAGACAAAAAAAAAACTCCCCCGCAAGCAGTTACGAGGAAGAGGAAATGCCGTTTAAACTAAAAAATGCCAATACGTTATAAAAACAACACAAACCACACTGAAGCAATCAAGGGAACCGGGCAAGATAAGGGCATGAAGACGTCCACAGCTATCGGAACACACACTGAGAAGGACGCCAAACTCAGAGAGGAACGACAGACTAGCGATATTTCCATGCTTTGTTTCCAGCACTGGCCCATACGCACGTCCGTCCTTTGAACCAGTTATCACAGCTGCAGCCCATCAAGAGGATCAAGGCCCTCTCCTCCCCAGTAGACCACGTCTCTCCCTTATCCTCTCCTCTCTGCGTGCTCTAGGGTGAAGAGGTGATAGGAGGGAAAGAACAGAAACTCCCAACGGTGGCTGAACCACTGGAACAGGAAACTCCTCACCTGTTATACAGGTATTCCCAAACATTCTGGGGCAGAATCACCACCAGATCGTCAATATAATGGTATTTATTCGGTGGAATTCCTATTGAGAAAGAGAAAACAGAGAGTTAAGAACTGCACTGTTGGAAGTCATCATGGAACTGAAAAAAATATGACTTTCGACCAGTTCTCGTGCTTATGACCATTGTGGTGATCTGTGGGCAACTGCTGCGGTTAGCCGGCAGCAGGTGCAGACGGCTGAGGAGAGCAAGGACTCAAATGAGGGGCCAAGACTATCAGGGAGTGGACTGCTGCCTTCAGAGATCGTGGGGGCTGGCAGTAGCAATGAGGAGGTTCCCGAGGAGCCTGTGCCAAGTGCGCATGCACGCAAGGCTGCTCGCAGGAAAGAGCAGCTGCGGCAGCACGGGCGACTCGGGAGTAAGGCTGCAAGGTAATGGCCCCTCCTTCAAGAAGATAAAAGCCAGCTGTGAAGTGGACGTTCTTTGCAGGAAGCAAAGACATTTTGAAACTTGCAGTATCTTAGTTGGTATTTGAAGACTCTTGTGTTGTATAATATTTCCAGGTAACCTTATCTGTTATTCTTGGCAGCCTCGCAGAGCTTTGGCGAGGCTCGTGCTTATCAAAAGTTAATTAGTTTGCAGCAGCCTTTTAACCGGGGATTCGTAAGAATCATTCAAAGGTTTCTGTTCCCCTTTGGTTCGTGTTTCTTTTATTGGAAAAAGGTTTGGGTCAGAACAGCTCTCATTTACGACGGTTGTAGGGGATCAGGGGATCACTATTGGAGACCTTATCAGCTCTGGACAAGTAAAGTGATCTGGGAAAGGCAGCAAGGAAATGTAAAACCAGGTGGAGTTATGTGAGGCCTCGCAGAACGACCAAGCCACTTAATGATGAATTTCCTGTTTTCAATTGTGGTCGTAAGTCAAGGACCAATTGTAGAATCAAGGTGGGGTGACGTAGAACTCCCTAAATCTACTTTTTGCCCCACCTGTGAGCGTGCCGTTGTTTTCTTTGATACAGGCAGTTCTCGAGTTACAACCATTCTTATAGTGGCTGTCTGATATGGTTGCAACGGCACTGGAAAAAAGGGAGCTAGGACTGTTTTTCACACTTACGACCGTTGCCGCATCCCAGGGGTCACGTGATCAAGATCCAGACCCTTGGCTCCTATTTATGACGGTCGAAGCATCATTCACTTTAGCAACTGCAGTGATCCAGTTAACAACTGGGGCAAGGAGCCTGCAAAATGGGGCGCAACTCACCCAATGACATAAATTGGGGGCTCAGTTGGGGGCGTAAAGAAACTCCCTCACCTCCATGGGAGCACAGGAAGGTGTGGTTGCTGATGGGCCCGGGCTCCGTGAAGGTGTTGAATTTGTTCAGCCATTCGCGGGAGATGTAGAACTGGAGCAGTCCGGGCTCCTTCAAGGTGGCCAACGAGACGACTTTCTGGCGCTCCCGGACAGCCTCCTCGCTGCTTTTTCTGTGGGAGGAGGAGGTGAAGAGTTTGGTTTTGTAGGAAAAGGCACCGGGGCTAGAAAGTGGGAGACCGTGAGTTCTAGCCTCGCCTCAAGTATGAAAGCTGGCTAGTGGCTTTGGCCCATTCACCAGGAGACGGGGAGTTCTAGCCCCATCTTATGCATGGAAACTGGCTAGGTGATTGTGAGCTGATCACTGGGAGACAGTGAGTTCTAGCCCTTGAGAGCTAGCTGGGTGACCTTGAACCAATCACTAAGAGAGATGGTGAGTTATAGTCCCATCCTAGGCATAAAAGTCAGCCGAGTGAACTCAGGTCAGTCACCAGGAGACTGGGAGTTCTAGTCCCACCTTAGGTGTGAAAGCCAGCTGGGTAACTTTGGGACAATCATTAGGAGACGGTGACTTCTAGTCCTACCTTAGGCATGAAAGTCAGCCGAGTGCGTTTGGGTTAATCACCAGGAGATGGTGAGTTCTGGTCCCACCTTATGCATGAAAACCAACTAGGTGACTTTGGGCCAATCACCTCGAGATGGTGCAATGGTGGGCTGAGAGGTGGTCGTAAGTTGAGGACTACCTGAACAAGGTCACCCTTACCTGTAAAACAAGACGTAAGCCTCGGCGTTCTGCACGACCGTTTCGTGCACTTCCGTCACGTACTGGTCATCGAATTCGTACCACTGGCCATTGATCATGTTCTGGCAGTAGGCAATGTAATGTCCACCTAGGACCGAGAGGCCGAGAATTGAAGCGGGGCCCAAGGCCCAGAGCCCTGTGTCCGGCATCCACTTGGGAGGAACCGAGCGAGGCGAAGGAAAGGGGACTTACTGCCGGCCGTGCCGTGGTGGCAAATCACCGAGAGGAGGTCGTAGTTGGTGACTTTGGAGATGCTCTCCTTGGCCAGGAAGGGCCGGAGATCCAGGCCTTCCAGGGGGAAGGAAACGTGGCTGTTGATCTTGAAGGAATACATGACTTCGTGCCGGAAACGCTTCAGATGGATGCAGAGGACCTGGAGGCGGGCAGGGAAGAAGAGTCTGAAAAATGCCTGCAGGGGTCATAACCCACCAGGAAGTCACCATTCTCCCCCTCCCTTTTTCTCATCTCCCCTCCCCTCATCTCCTTCCTTCCTTCTTTTTCTTCCCTTCCTCTCTCCGTTCCTTCTCCCTTTCCCTTCCTTCCTTCCTTCCTTCCTTCCTTCCTTCCTTCCTTCCTTCCT